CCACCCCCTCCCCAACCCCCCAGGACACGAGGGCGGGCTTCTCAGGCCTGTATGTTATCGGTGCCCAGTTACGTCACACTGGTCTGTACACCTGCACGGCCACCACCGTGGACTACAGCTCTTCTTACAGTGGACATCTGCAGGTCAGAGGTCAGTGCGCCTGTCTGTGGCCGTCATGAGATGAGATAATATGAGATGAGATTAGAATGAGGGGAGATTAGATTGAGAGGAGATTAGATTGAGAGGAGATTAGATTGAGATGAAACGAGTCAGAATGAGGTAAGCCGATATAAGAGGAGAAAGAAAAAACATAAGACAAGATAAAATGAAGTGACATGACATAATATTGGATGAGATGAGATGAGATAAGGGAAGCCAAGAGGGGATAGAATGAAGTAAGAAAAAGCAAAATGAGATAAGATAAGGTACGATACGATAAGATACGATAAGATACGATAAGATACGATAAGATACGATAAGATACGATAAGATACGATAAGATACGATAAAATAAGATAAAATAAGAAGTACAATGATAAGATGCGATAAGAGGACACAATAGGGCAGGGAATGTGGGACGGGGAGGAATGAGAAAATATATTATTTGATAAAATTAGTTACATTATGGAAGATAAAATGAGATAAAATGGGATGAAATGAGATAAATTAATAACATGAGAAAATAAGATACGTTATGAAGAAAATAAAACAAGATAAAGTGAGGAAGTAAGGTGAGATTCGAACAAATAAGTTCAGAAGTGATGAGATCACTAGTAGTACTTCTACCAATTCTGTTACCTACCCCCCCCCCCTTTTCCTAAAGAAAGAAAGAAAGAAAGAAAGAAAGAAAGAAAGAAAGAAAGAAAGAAAAAAAGAAGAAAGAAAAAATGAAATAAATAAATAGATAAATAAACAAATAATAATAAATATATAAATAGGTAAATAGGCAAATAAAAACAAACAAATAAATAAATAATACATAAGTATATAAGTAAATAAATAAATACCTCCTCAGGCCCGCCAGGGGAATGTGCCGGTGTGTACGGATACGTCCACGAGCGGACAGTGACTCTCTACTGGACACCCGGGCCTGAACACGGAGCAACCATCTCCACCTTCTCTGTCTTCTTCAACACAGACTTCAACTCTACCTGGAGGGTCCTAGCGCAAGGTGAACGCTCTGAAAGAAGTCCTAGGGAGAACGGGCATACAATTATAATATCTTCTTCTTCTTCTTCGCCGTGGTTGGGGCAATTGTGGGGGCACCACTGCATCTAAAAACCAGCTCTCGCTATCTATTTTTGTCCTCTGCTTTCCTCAGATTGTCACCCATCGTCTTTCTTGTCCACTTTGTAATGTTATCCTCCCATCTACTTCTCTGCCTTCCTCTCTTTCTCTTTCCTTGTACGGTTCCTTTCTGGATTGTTTTGGCAAGTCCTGTGGATCTTGTGACATGTCCATACCATAATTTTAATTTTCGTCTCTTCACTGTGGTCAGTAGATCTTCATGCTGTCTCACTGGGTTGGTGATTCGTTCTATTCGATAGAAGTCAGAGAGAAATTAAAATCCAATGATTCTAATTTCTTCTGTTTGAGCAATCTGTCTAAACCGAGAATTCGAGAGGTCCCACAGATTTCAGTTTACCTGTAAGTGGGCGCCACTGGAAATAATATTACACATGTGTTTTTTGTTTTGTTTTTGTAAGTGTTTTACTGCGCTCGCAACTTTCAAAAGGTCACATGAGCGTGTGTGTGCGTGTGTGTATGTGTGTGTGTGTGTGTGTGTGTGTGTGTGTGTGTGTGTGTGTGTGTGTGTTTATGTGGGTGTATACTTAATCCACCAAACACTCCACCCATCAACCCCTCAAACTGTGCCCAGGTGTACCAATGTCTGAGGTAGCCATGGAGATCAAGGACATAAAAAACACACGACGATGCCGTATGGAGACCCCTGACCTCAAGCCGGGGTCCTCGTACCGCTTCCGGGTCGCAGCGTTCAACGTGTACGGCGCGGGACCGCCATCTTTACCATCTAGTGAGTCACTAATACGACAGTAATGGCACAAGTAAAGATTAGCCTCCTGCCTCTTCCCGAAGCACGATGACCTCAGTTCATTATTTTATTTTATTTTTTATGTTTGCTTTTTTAAAGGCATGGCATTAACGGTCCAAAAGAAAAGCTCTTTCCAAAGCATGTCAGGCGAAACAGAATGGCCAAAAGAGGCGCTCGTT